GTTCGAAACGAACCTCCTAATATAGGCGAGCTTCCCTTGTAGGGAACGTAACTGCGTCAAACTTTTAGGAGGTTCCATCTCAATGATGGATTTAATTTTAATAGGATCAATTTCAATGCCTCTGTGACGAACAATGAAGCCTAAAAACTTCCCAGAAGATACGCCAAAGGCGCATTTCAGTGGGTTCATCTTTAAGTCATATTTCCTTAGGCATTCAAAGACGGTCCTCAAATCTGAAAGATGATCATCTTCAGAAAGACTCTTAATTACTACATCATCGATGTAACACTCGACCTGATGGTGTAGTAAGTTAGCAAAGATGTGGGTCATAGCGCGCTAATAGGTTGCCCCGGCGTTCTTTAATCCGAAGGGCATGACCTTATAGCAAAATATGCTGATCGGAGTACGAAATGCCGTATGTTTCTCCCCATCTGGGGCCATCCGAATTTGATTATAATCGGACAAACCATCCATGAAGGAAAACATCGCATGAGAGGAAGCGATGTCTATCATGAGTTCTGGAATCGGCAGGGGAAAATCGTCTTTCGGGCAAGCCTTATTCAAGTCTCGAAAGTCGATGCAAACTCGTATTTGTCCGTTCTTCTTTCGAACGGGTACGATGTTTGCAAGCCATGTAGGATAAATAACCTCTCTAATAAATCCGGCATCAATGAGCTTTTTGGTCTCTTCAATGACCTTCTGCTCTATCTCAGGGCGCATTCTCCTGGGTGTTTGTTTCACAAGAACAACACTCGGGTTGATAGCCAAATGGTGTATGGCCACATCTGGGGCTAGTCCGGGCATCTCAGCATAGCTCCAGGCAAGAGAATCACGAAACTCTTTTAGTATTTCTATAATTCTAACAGTCATAGAATCTGTTAAGAGTTTGCTAATATAAGTCGGACGAGGATCGTCGGTCGTGCCAAGGTTGACCTCAACCAACTCATCGATCGTCGAAGAGACGCCATCCTCGAGCTCGGGAGGGGCATCTTTAATTTCGATCTCCTCACTAGCAGAGGCGATGGTCTCGATATCTTCATGTACAGAAATCGTTCTGCATGAGGCTCTATGGAGTTCGACCTTATTAGGTTTCTTAACGTAGCCTAATCCAGACCTCTCTCCTGGGGGTTTATATTGCCACATGGCTTTACAAAATTTGGATTGACGAATGGACCACCTCTCGGGCAACAAACCAACATCAAGCATTTTATAAATGAGAGGAGAACAGTAATAAGAAAGAGGAATATCCTCTACTTCTTCATTCTCATCGTCTAAAAGCATTACATCTGTGTTCAATACGTGAGGAACAGTTTTATAAAACAAAATGCCTTTCTCTTTAGACTCAAGCTTAGGAGGCACATAAAAGGTCTTCAACTCTTCAACAGTAGAGGCATGTGTAATCGTCAACTCCTTGTGATGACCTCGTGGCATGGGGTCGATGGTTAACACCTCATCTGACAAAGAGAGTCTAGTCAAACGAGGTACCATGCCCTTCAAGGGTAGCAGAAGTATTTCCCTCCCAACGTCATCTCGGCTCGAACTGCTCACCGGTAGTGCCTCATCTAGATCAGACCCGGAATCTGATGCAGCTTCAATTTTTATCTTACCTACAGGCAAGATGGGGAGCTCAAGCTCATGCTTAGAAGTCACAGGGGCACGACGCCTTTCCTCCTGCTCCTTTACCTCTCTATCTTTAACAATGAGAGAACTAGGAAGAGGAGGGGCCCGTGGACAACCCGATAAAATCGAGACTGGGATAGATGCTTTGTGTGGTACATAATATTCTGCATCGTCGTAGACTCCCACCTCGTTAATGGAGAACGGATGAACATCTCCAGGGATAGAAAACTCTTCCCCTCCACGCATGTACTTGATGCATTGGTGGAGGGTAGATGGTACCATCCCATACTCATGGATCCATGGGCGTCCAAGAAGGGCTCTATAAGACGTGTTCCCATCAATCACATGGAACTTGGCTTCGCTCTTGAAGTCTCCAAATTGGAGAGGTAGAGTGATGGAGCCAAGAGTTTTCTGACCCTTTTTGTTAAAGCCATTAAGCATAATCTTATCAGAACATAATCTCCTTGTGCTCGTCAAGAGTCCGGACACTAATAATATTCACAGAGGCGCCAGGATCTATTAGGATACGGTTTAACGGAGTCCCGTAGATTCCGGCTGTAACATACAAGGGACGATTATGGTCCGTGGTGCCTAAAAGCAAGTCCTCCTCAGTAAATGTAACGGCAACCACATCAGGCGGCATAGCCGCCTCCTTCATCTTCTCCTCCGCATAATGTGCATAGAAGACCTCGGGCTCACGCAGAGCTTTAATCAAAGTCTCTCTCAACTCGGGAGAAAGAAGAAGTGCATCATAGATGCGCAAAGAGGCTGGCAACCTCTTGAGGTGCGCTAATACGTTATAGTCTACAATTTTAGGAGAATCTTTAAAGCCTTCCTTTGGGACTTCAGGGTGGTCATCTACTTCTTGGGTAATAATTCCCTTTCCCTTATCCTTAGAATTGGGCAAAGATACTCTTGGAGGGAGAATTTTACCACTTCTAAGGCGAATTTCCTGAACCTTCTCACTAGAGGAACCAATGGGTTCGACTTCAGTGACAAATTCAGCAGAAGGCTCGTCAAAGAAGCCCTCATGCACGAAGGCCTCACCTGCATCAGCAGATGTATCACTCAAATAATCGTAAATGCGACATGTACCGCTCGAGGAGGGCAATAATGGGTATTGTTCATCTTCCACATCAACATGATCAGAGTCATTGATATCATAATCATCAAGTATAAGAACATGAGACACAGAGACATAATCAGAAGATTCTTCTTTTATATCTTTATCATCATAAAATGTGCCAGGAGGAGCACTACAATCCACTCCTGCGTTACAAGCAAGAAGATAAATATCAGAAAAAAGACTATGAGTTGGAATAGTTGTCACAATCTTCACAGAACCTTTCCCCTGGGGTTTCTCCAAGTACTGATCTGGTATCTCTATTTCTCCTGCATTATACCGGGCCTCAAGCCAATCCTTGAAAGGATAACAGTCTTCCAGGACATGCCCCAGATGCCTATGGTATGGGCAATAGTCAGGCTCCTTCGTCCCCTCCACCTCGTGAGGTTTATTTGGCGGTGGGAGCTGCATTCCCTGCTTAAGCAGGTTCTTGAGCATCTTCCTAAGACAATCATTCCTAAAAGGATAGACCTTAGACTTTCTCTGTTCAAGATACTGGGATTTCCCTTTCTGAAGAGATGGACCAGTTTGCTCGGCAGACATGACTGGCTTTTTTATTTTCCCATCAGATGTCGCAAGAGCGATGCTCTCTTCCTTTCTTCTAGACACACCCACAATAGGCCTTTTGCCTCTAGCCTTTTCAGTATCTTTGAAGATCAAGGCATCTGCGGTGTCTTGCAAACTAGCCACTTTTTCGATCAAATTTTCAAATGTTTTGATCGTACTCATCTTTAGCAAGACAGAAATAGGGCCTGTTATTTTGCCCATGAGGAATGCAACCGCATGTTGTTCTTGCAACTGGGGTTCACACTGCAAACTCAAGTTGCGCCAACGAATGGTGAACTCCACCAAGGACTCTACAGGACCCTGTTGGGCCAACAATAAGTCATTCAAGGTTACTCTGTGATGCACTCCTACAAAGCGTTTGACAAAGGCATCTTCCAGTTCAGTAAAGGTTTTGAATGAGCCATTAGGTAAGTCGGCATACCACTCAAAAGCAAACTCTGCCAAACTGGTGACGAAGAGTCGAAGTAAGAGGGCGTCGTTGTTGCCAACGTTGCAACAAAGTGCTCTAAATTGGGCTGTATGTTGGCGAGGA